CTATATGCATATCAGGTTATTTTTGTGCCCTGAATACACAAATGCAAATGCAAAGTTTCTTGTCTAGAAGAAACCTCCAGAATGATTTCTTTTTTTTTCTTCTTTGTACTGGGAGTGGGGAGTACAAGGGGGAAGATTGCCAGTAAGTTTTAAGTGTCTTACAGCAACAGAAATGCGATGCATTTCTGTGTCTTAAATCAATTCACTCTGTCACAATTTCAGTGTTGGATATACAATATTTAGAAATAGGCAGTACAAGAAAGGAAGTTAAAATACAGAACAGTTTACATTGTGTTACTAAAGCCTCACAATAATTTCCTCCCCAGGTGGATACGCTTTTAGCCTTCATTATGTGGTGTAATACAGTAGTGGTACATGTCAGCCGCTATGTTTTCATAACAGTTTTGTAAGACTGTACTAACAAATTACCATTTTGTTTACAAATATTTGCCTGTGACAGATACTTCTGGAACATTTGAGGAGAAAAAAGATGCTCATCACCTATTCTTGGCTAAATCTCATAAGGAAACAAAGAACAAAGCGTCAAGAAAACATCATGGACTTAATAGGAAATACATACTGTAACACGAGTAAAAGTGAGGCAAGGAAAGTAGCAGTGAACCTCTCCAGGTGTCAGAGTTACAGCATATCCAAGTGCAAGAACTGGATGGAGTATCGCACACAGATGAAGACCATGACAAAGAGTGGTCTGTATCCTTCAACATTTGAAGAAGTAGCAGTTGGTTTGTTCAATAATACATATGTGAAAGCATTAACAGAAACAAAGCAAAGAAACCCCCAATTTTCTTAAAAGAAGAGTACCTTTACAAAGGTAATCAGCTCCTTGAATAAAATTCACTGTTAGTGTTTAAACAAGAATCTAAGAACCCCAACTCGCAGGACGCTGTAATGGGAAAAGCAAAATTGTTTCTTCTAAGAAGCCTTTATTCTGTTCAACAAATGCTGTCCCAATTGTTTGGGGACAAATCATCCTATTGCCTTGATTTTCCATGTAAAATAAGAAACATCAAATAACTCTAAGCCACTAGAACTTTTCTAAATATTTTTAAATAGCTGTGTATAGCACTGAGAATTCTGTTAAAAATTCAGGGTGGAGTGGGGGGAAAAAGAGGAAAAAGCTGACCCTAGGATCATTTTGACATGTCAGGGACTAAGCTCATCAGTACTCTTGGGTTTCAGGATAGTCTTATATCCCTTGAAAGATTTGTTATCTGTGACAATTTATGGACAAAGTTTGGTAATGCTTGCTTGATTTTTCCAAGTCATGCATTTTTTGATTCTAGCTGACTAAGAAAAGGTTTACATTCAAACTTTTGAGTCCTTTAAAATATCAGAAGGGATTTTTCAGAAAAACATTGGTGTCAGAAGGCCTAATAATTTTAGGGAAATATGTTTTGGCACCTGAATTCTTGTATAAGAAACAAAGATGTGGTTGCAAGTGTATTTCTTTTGACAAGGTGGAGGCATATGACTCTGAAAAGGACAGCTGACAGGACATTTTTTTATACTAAACCTGAATTTCTATCTTAGATTGATAATTCACACCAGCATCTTATTTCTATAAATCTTCTGTCACCTACCATTACTAGAGCTGTGATCTATTACTAGGAAAGTGATCTGAACATAAAATTTTAACAATTTTCTTTAGAGAACTTTGTGCAGCAATTTTAGAAGCTGAATTCCAAGCACAAGATTCTCTTGCTTCAATTAACTAACTTGTGGCATACAGTCTCGGGTCACTGTAAAACAACCTCCTACTAAAAAAGTTAAGAAAGTTTGTCCTTCCCTCCTGTCCATGAACAGAAGAGGCTTTTTTTTTCTTTAGAGGTTTAAAGAGATACATGAAGCTTTTTAGAAAATGAATAGGCAGTGTAGAAATTTCAGTCAGTGAATTATTCAGGTTCTCCTCATGTTTGAGATTATTTTTTCTACTTCTGTGTAGCTATTGCTGCTTATAAGTAAAGTTCAGACAGCTTCTGTCCTGTAAATCAGTTCCCAAGACAGTCTTTGCAGATTGCTGACATAGCACACCACAAACAGACTACACCATCCTTGATAAACATTAGAGACTGTTTCAGAGAAAGTCATTCAAACATCACTGCTAAATCTTCATTTTCCAACTAATACTCAGTATTTTATACTGGAAATTAACACTGAGGTTAAGGAACAATTTAGGATTAACATTGCAACAAAAATCTTGTGGAGGCCAATTATTAAACTTAAGCTTTAACCATTAATGTAGACAGCTCTCAATTAATCCCGCATCTTTCAACCAGGTTAAAGGATTAGACTTCCAAATCAGTAAGTAGGCATTGTCTCCTCTCCTCTTGCTCTCTTCCCAAGCATGTAAATAACCTGTCTTCAGCAGGCTGGTAGCATTAAATTGGCATTACGCACACCAACACATCAAAAACTCAAGTCTGCATAAAACACCCCTCTAAACTATTAACCATCTCATCCTGTAGCACTTAAAGGACGGGTCTCACTGATGCCAGTAGGGATTTGAAGTGCAATGATTTGTTTTGTTTCAATATGGATCTAATAATATAAACAAAGTCCTTACCTTCTTGGCAATGCAAAAATGGTTAGAATTATCTTGGAACTTTTCAAAGCACCTATAACAATTTTCAGTAGTTCGACCACTAGATGCTTCTGTTGTTAAACAAACTTCTGGATTTCACCTGCTCAGGCATTTAGTACTCCAGCTTTCAGCACGTACAGGAAATATACTACAAAACTACCTAAAGCACAGATCAAGAGCCTGGCAAGTCAGCTAAGAGACTGCTGTAATTTAGAGGGTTGGATGAAGACATCCTCCAAAACTTGGGGAGCACATTTAAATTGCTCCAAACTTGAGAACTAAACATTTATCAAATGATATTTTTGTACAAATATGTAAATTTCATGGGAGAGAACTGGTGGTATTTAGAAGTCGAAATAGTCATATTTTGTTTGTTAAAAAATGCTCTGGATCAAATGGTATGATGTGCACCTTGTTACATTTTCACTCATATGATACTTTACCTTTCCAAAGTTGTTTTGCAGCAATTAATTCCCGTTGAGCATATCTGAAAGTCTAGTCTCTATGATGAGCTCCATTCATTAAACAGAAAGACATACTGGAATAAAACTTCAGTCCTGAGCTTTTTCAACAACTTCTTAACAGAAAAAAGTTATTAAAAATTTAGCTGGATTGGTTGATATATCAGCACTCCAAACACTCCAAGGCTAATGTATGTCTAAATAGAGAAGCTATGTCAGGACAAAATATAATCAATTTCAGCAAGCCTAGGCAAGATGAAAGCAGATGGCCTAACAAATTATTAATACAGAAGAAATCATTTTTCTCCAACAAAAATGAAACAATGAACATGTGCATCTTGTCCAGGGAAGACTGCATTCCAGCTTTCAGCTAGAGCCAACTGATCAATAAACAGTTATCTTGGCTCAAAAGAACTGACATCAACGGCCTGTCATTTTAAAGAGGCATGTGTTAAGAAGCAGCCTCACTTCAGTGTTTGTTTCGGGCAATCTGAAATGTTGGCTATTTCCACGTTTTCATTAACTGCAGTAAGTCAGGATCAGAACTGCAAAATGGCTATGAAGTATGCTGGCATTCCGCTTGGACCGGTAACAGAACAAAAGCAGTCTGAGGCATTAAGACTCAGCTACGTTTGAGAAAGGCCAGATTGCTGCTGCTGCTTTAGTGTTTTGGGGTGAGGGTTTTCTGTTTCTTTCTTTTTAAGGTCTAATTTTGGTGTCTAGCAAATAAGTGAGGATAGAGCAGAAAGCAGTTCATAAAGATTTGCTAAGATATATGGATCTCTCCCCCGACTGGAGAGAACGGTGGCAAAGAAACGCATAATTGACAACACAGGGCAAGGAAAAGGCATGATAAAATGTAGTCACCAAACTGCGCTAAAACAGACTGACCCATTCAAAATCTCCCTGTAATAGTTCATGCCTGATTTGCTCCAGAATAGCTCTACAAGAATTTTCACTAATACAAACTAATCTGAAGTACAAGTCCTTCCATTTCTTAAAAACTTTTCTACATTTCCTTCAGAGAAAATACTTGAGATGGTAGAAAAACAGATTACAAACAAAAAAAGCATCATCGACATGACCTCATTTTGATACTAAAGCTAAACAGCGTATTTTAGTATATACTCAAGTCTATTAAGCTCTTTTTCTTCAAAAGTATAACAGTTTCTCACTAGTGCTGGTAGGAAACAAAAAGTAAAAATAAATAACATAGCACAAATGGGTATGGTCAACCTACAGTTTAATTGAAAGCATACTAAAACCAATACAGAATAAGCTAAACACTGATTTGCTAAAAACCTCTCAGATGAAAAAGCCCAGGAACCAAGAGGTAACGATCTACATTACCACATGTCTTAGGGTTACTTCCTATTTGTGTTTTTGTGCCCAAAACAGGAAAGACTGGGTGCACCACAGATGAAAACTTCTTCTACAGACAGGCCTCATGCTGCACCAACAGCATTCTCTAATGGCCCTTTCAAATGTGATTGAAAGAATTTCAGTCCACCTTTGGATGAACTCAAAGTGACAATACCTAAAACACAGGGGGGAAAAAAAAAACCTGATGGAAATTCCCCAGAAGTTTATCCATAGGTGTGGAATGGAAGGAGTGTATAAGATTGCATTAGTTTTTACATAATTTATAATACTTTATAAACACTGGTCTCATAAATATAATATGAACACTTTACACATGCCAAGCAATTAAAAGCTCTCCCCAAAAACTTTTAGGTCTTATCAGAACCACTGGCAGCATCTGTTTACAGCATCTGTTTTTAGTCAGTAACCACTTAACTTAGTCAGAATTACAACTCGGTTTTCTTCAACCAACATCTTAATATTAAAAAACTTGCAGGAACAAAAAGATGCATATAAGCATATCAGTTTGCCTTAAAGTGATTAAAGTCAGCATGAAAAAAAGATTGTCTGTGGTTTAGGATCTATCGCATGTGTCCCCACCCCCCGTGCATGTCATCTTTAAATAAAAAGTGCAAATGGGATTTGGGGACTGGATGGACTGATTTGCCTACTCTTTGTCTTCAGTGCTTATTCTGTAGCCACCTCACATCAACTGTCCCATTGTACTTTGGATTAGCTACAATTAAAATTAAAGTAAGGCTCACTGAAGAAAAGGAAGAAATGACATCTAACTTCCAGACTCCTCCCACCCCTAAGTCCCACAAAAGTGCTCATTTCCCTTTTTACAGAAAAACTCCAAAAATCTTGGTTACAAAACTATTAAACATTTCAGTTCTACCATCCATATAGTCACCTTCCTTTCAAGCAAGGCCAAAACAGTGATGACGGATTCCCTTTGAACGCAAGAGACACTACACTTTGTCTAAGTAAACAGGCTGACATTACAACTGCAGTCTGTTCTGCGACTGTACAGATGTCAGGTGAACTGGTCCGTTTTGGTGGGACCTCGGGTGTATGAACACCAGCAGATAAAGATCTAGGACTGATAATATAAACCCAACACGAACTATTAACTTCCAAGACCACCTACTGTATAAACAAGTCTGATTTTCTACGGGATCAGTCAACAGCAGCTGCGCTTTGTCACCGATGGTTGTCTTCTAAGTTTGAAGCCCTTACCACTAGACTGGGGGTTGGTGTCAGTTGATGGAATTCTGCGACCTACAAGGAGGCAGAAAAAAAATTTATAGCAAACATTATACTTGAAATTAATTCTAAGCATTCAATGTATGTTTTGTATATAAATATATGTCTTCAATGAGTCATATGTCATTAATGACGTTCTTGTGTAACAGAAGGATGGCAGATAACAGTCTGTACTATTTCTGTAAGAGGTATGGTTCCACAAAAGAAGAGTAGAGGCAGTTTTAAGCTGATTTTGCAACATTTACACTTAAGAGAGCTAAATTCTAAAAGCACTCAGAGAACACACTCTACAGGATCCAATACCATCTGGAATATCTTGATTAAGAACTACCATCTTGACCTGTATTTCCACAGTAGATCACCTGCATCAGGCTTAGCACAGAAGTGCTTGTAAAAATAGCTGCTTTAGTCATCTAATCAGTCTTTAAAATTGACTATTCCTGGTTGAGTATTCTCTTCTGAGGAGGATTTATGATTTCTTTTTTCCCCATAGTTTTCAAGATCAATTTTAGAGAGCAACTATTAAGTCAGTAAATCAGGAAGCTAATCTACAGCACATACTTTCTACATCAGCTTCAATATATTCAATTGCTTACAAGGACCCTATTTTTTTTTTCCCCTTAAGTCTAATGTTTCTGTAGTTATTCAAAGCTGAACTGCAGTGCACATGCACAGACTGCTGTTCTTCCTCTTTTCACAAACAGCCTGGCATACCTGCACATCAGTGCTGCTGCCTGAAACATATCCTACAAATACTATTGCATGGAATTCACTTTGGAATACTGTCTGCTTTTCATTCACACAAAATAATTTGTCATTGTCCTCCCCAACATGAATAAGACAGAAAAGATTTGTAATTTAATTTAAAAAACCCCAAGGTATCACAAAAATACTTGTGGGAAAATATACACACAACAGTTGCTATTTCCTAGGCAATAATCTGGCATTTATGAATTCTTGTGTTTTTGAAAACGCACTGGTTTATACAAGCACAAACACTTAAGACTGAGAACTTAATTCCTTTTCTCAGCTGTAGAAAGTCTGGATTCTCCTCATGGCATTTCCTTTCCATTCCATAACCTTAGAAGTACTAATTGAAATATTTGATAACAGGTACAGTAAGCTGATGCTGATTTCTGACACAAGTGCTCTGCTTGCTATTCATCCAGCAGCATCACAGTAGGCTTAAAATCTCTAGAAGGAATATTTAGAGGTCATTAGATGACCAAAACTTTATACAGCTCATTTTGCAGTTTGTATTCATGTCTGATTGTTGCAAATTTAAGTTGGTATACTCTCATCTATAGAGCACAAAAACTAATACAGCAACCAAATTTATACTTGGAACTTCTTTCAGAAGAAAGCACATTAACTGTTTAAATACTTACTAATTTCTATAAAGAGTTCATTAATGTTTATTGCATTTTTCGCACTTGTCTCTACAAATATTGCATGAATGGAATCTGCATAGTCTTTAGCGTCTTTTTCCATGACTTCTCTGGAAAAACAAAGCAAAGAAAAAAAACTGTGAATGCAAAAAATCCCCATTATTCAAAATCTGAAGGGTCAGATTAAGCTCTTAAGCATCATTAAATGAGTATTTTGTATTTTATCTGTTTGGCATCACAGCGCTCCCTCATCCTGGAGCTGATGCTCATTCTTTACTCTATCCTGTCTCCCTGTCCTGAGGGATGAGCATCACCGAAGCACAATCATAAACTAAACAAGACCGTAATCCGTCTGACAACATTGCAGTGGAGTTTGTTTCTATAGTGCTCTAACTGTAGGTCTGCAATCAACCATTAGGAGGTGCTGTATTGTTCACACACACACCAGTTTTAGATGTACTCAAAAGATCGTAACACATCAGTTCCACTAATCCAGTGAATTTCCTACAGCTGTTTACAAAACCAAGTATCTCACAGCACTGCACAGATCATTAATACAGTATTTACTTTACACGAAGACGTAGCTATAAATAGGAACATATTTAGACTGAGCACACAACAGAGACAAGAAGTGAAAAAGTTATTCTGCACCCCGGAGTAGGCAAGTTGATAGTGAAGTGTGTTTCCTAAAACAACACAATAAAACCAAACCCCAATAGGTGCAGAGAGGACAGGACTGTATGTTGTATCACTTTACACACAATTTCTAGAAAATATAAGCCACCTTCAGTAACAAGGGACTTAGGATATCAAAAGCACAGGCTTTGGATCCGTGATTCAAATATTGCCTCTGACTGAAGTCCAAGGAATCTTGCTCATTAGCCTGAATAGCAATGTTTACATAATTTATGATGCCATCAAAACACCAAGAAATAAGCATGTGAGACTTAATACTGCATGCCCTGTGTTTGTCTTTTAAGTAATTTTATGCTGTATTTCCTTCAAGAGACATGCTACTTCTAGCAGATGTTATGAGAGCTCACTAGATAACCGGTGTATGTTAAAAATTTGTAAAACTATACCAAGAACCAACTTTGCAGCGGTTCTTTAAACACACAACCATCTGTTTCTTTTGAGACACCAGCTGTGGTACCTTTTCCAATGAAATCTAAACCCAAGAAGTTTGCACACACCTTCTTTCTGAATTTTGGCTCATTTAACCAGGACATCAATAAAAAAAAAAAAGAGCTTCTTTTGTTTTAGTACATGCCTTCTTGAAAGTTTGGCTGTTGATAAAGTTTCTCAAGAATTTTCCCCGTTCCCTGCAACTATTTCAGCCACAGCCAACTTCACTCCAATATTCAAGCAGGGAAGGAAGGCACCTGAACAAGCAAGTCAGAAAAACCCTACACAATGCTTTCCAACAGGCTTGATGTTTTTCCTAACAAAATGAGGTGCTACAGACGGACAGGGGTACTTCTTATAGAGTGAGGTAAACAGCTTGTATTACGCTGTAGTTTCACAGGCAGTTTAGGCTTGTGTAACTTGGCACTGCCACCAGAAAAGGTAATCCTGTCTCCCTGTAAACTGCTCATTCCTAACCCTGCTGTCCCACCTCTGTTAGGCCAGCAAGTGTTCATGGTGTGAGAAAGATAAATACACTTGGATCAGTTTTCCTTTTTTTAAAATGGTTACTTTTAATCTAGATCCATTTTACAGCCTGATTTACTGCCCAATCACACACGTACTCACACCACCACAGGGGAGGAAGTCAGCAAGACTGTCCAAGGGCAGACTAACCAAATCTTGACAGTAGAAGCAGCTCAGACCCCTTGTAAAACTACAGTGCTAGCGCAAAACAGCTTAAATTGCTCTATGCCTTTCACCTGCTTTGAAATATTAAAACATTTACCACTAGAAGTTTAAAATAAAATCTTCAAACTGTCTACAGTTATTTACCTTACATCGTTAAGATCACACTTATTTCCTGCAATAGCTACAACAATGTTTGGAGGTCCATGCTGTCGAAGCTCTTTAACCCAGTTCTTTAATGTTGAGAAAGTTTCCTGATGTAGAAAAAAAAAAAACACAGAAGGAATTAAGAGTCAGAACTGGCCCATGACACAAAAAAAACGCCCAAAATTGTAATGCTGGGTCAAAATCAAGTTTCTTACCTCTTTTGTGATGTCATACACTATAATGGCTGCTGCTGACCCTCTGTAATACATTGGGGCTAAAGCACGAAACTGAAAGAAAGACACCACACATTACAAATCTCACCTTCCACTGACCTCCATGACTTCCTTATTACTAGTATTATTGGAAGAAGTGAAAACTAGCTTTAAAGTTCACATTAGTGGAAGACTTTTCTTTACAATTACAGAGAGGCTGTGCAGTAGAATACATAAACTTCTATGAAAGTATTGTTTTACAAAGGCAAACCAATCAATAGTTTAGGGGTCAGCAACACACCTACTGCAAATAGTAGGAAGCCAAACTTGACCTTATTTTGACTGGATTAGAATATCTCATTTAAAAGACTGTAGATTATATGCAGATACAAACCCACAGGATATATGCTCAACTTGAAACATCAAGCAAGGGGAAAACAGTCAAAATTGAACTCGCTTCGTCCTCTTTAAGACACTCAAGTGTTTGGACAAAAAGTAATTTCAAGAAAACGAGCATATACTACTGCTGATCTGAAGTGTTCAGAAGTTGGTGTCAACTTCTAGCCCCATGGATTGGTCATGGCACTCTTAAATGCTAGAAATGTTGGGTATTTTTGTAATCTAACTTGAGGCTCTAGGGATTTTTGCCTAAGTTTTTCCTCCAAATTCAAAAGTTAGAAGCATGTTTAAAACTAAAAACTACAGAAACCCACAACTATGTGACCTGTTGCAAATAGAGCTTTAAGGAACACGCTAGATAGTAAGAGGCTACAATAGTTTTACTGTAATTTTCAGAATTAAATCTACAGTAGGCATATCTGCTTGGTAGTGCATTTGCAGGGTATAAACCAGGCCTGTACCTTTGCATGAGTACAGTTTTATGAATCCAGGACTGAAAAATGTGATAGAGCACCTGATTAAGTTCCATCAAAAACATCAATCAAGCATTCTTAAAACCAGTGTGATATTCTGCTAATTAAAAAGAATCAGACAACTAATCTAGCAATCAAAACTCTCAGTCAAAGCACACAGTAAACTGCATGTGCTGCTTTGATGTAAATATCTGTGATTTAGAGCTTTTGTGCATCTTATTACTCAGGGTAAAAGCCATGAATAGAATATAGTTTTATAGTTTTTCATACAGGCTTATTTAGTTCTAATAAAATATCAATTTCCTTTTGCTTAGTACAGTTCAACTGAGAGCAATATCATAAAAATCTTGCCATAAAGCAGAATTCCAGACCATTGACATTCAGCTCTCAAATTCTGTTTTGAAAACAGAATTTTGAACACAAAGTTCAAAATAGAAAAATATTTAATAGTGGGAAAAGGAAACATGGGCAGGCATTCAGTTCATGTTGGGACATAATCCCTGTCTTCTTAGTACTAAAACGTAAAGGGAAACGTATTTGGTAAACCACCAACTTGGACTGGTTACAACCTGGCTTATAGATTATTTGCCTATTTGCCTTGGGAATAAACCAGCTTTCACTTGCTGATTTTGTATTACTCTCATTTCCTGCCTGCTAACACTTAAGATACTTTTTTCCACCTAAGACCAGTCAGCAGATAAAACACATTGACAAAACAGATGTCAATGTTACCAGAAACACCAAATTTTCCTTTTGCTATTTTTTCAAAGACTACAGTTTGCCCTCTAGCTTCCAATTTACGTTTTGACAGAACTATTAAGACGACATAATGTAATTATCCAGAGAAATTGTCACAATTGTTAGGTAAGGCGGCAAAAATCCTAATTCCTGTAAGTAATCTATCAACTTTACTCAGTGTAGAAGAAATGAGAGAAGAAATAAGGCATATGTGTTCAGGGAAATGAGCTATGTAAAGTGAATTAGTGCACATTTCCACCTTTGGAGTGAAGCTAGCTAGCCAGCCAGCCACTACCTGAGCCATGTAGAACAAGGGGTTGCCCAGTGTAGCGTAGAACTGTTTGCTGCTGGGCTTTTGAAGTGGAAAATAGCAAATGCTCCTCAAGAAGCCAGGACTATGAATTCTGTGCATTACACATCTTAGCTCTGCAGAGACATTTTATTTTCAAGAATGCCATGAACGTTTTTGGTATTCCAGATCACCAGGGATGAGATCCCTTTGATAATTCATTGTCAGGTGTGTTGCACAATCAGAAAACTGTGCTACAGATTTCAGGGCAAGGCTGGTGTACAGACCATTTGTAACTCGCAGTAAGTGACAAGGTTGTTTTGTTTTGGAGAAATAAACATTTATGAAGATATAGGCATCATTTCAAAGTAAATATCCTGCTCCCATATTTCACTGGTTTTCTTAGATATATTGGGGCCTCAGTGACTTCTCAGGTGTGGAACATAAACTTCACAGCTCTCAGGTGACATCTTTCCATTTTTGATTTCAATAAAGATACCATGCAACTTGTATGGAAGAAAATTAGAGGTATTCCTCAAAGTCTAAAAACAGAAAGACAAGAAACGTGCTAGTCATGTACAGATATGCTTCCTCAGATTGTAGCATGCTGAATCCAAATTAGGGCTTTCTTCCATTGCTTGCAAACACAGTTAAGTGAACAGGATGGAATGCTAATATGTAAGGGATGTTTCCTGTCAAGTTGTGGCAGGCATGTTTATAAAGCTTTCCATTCAAGAGTACCAGCCTCTCAAAATTCATACTCTACCTCTCAGAAGACTCACATTTCAGCATTAACATTTCAGAATGGGCTAGGATGTTCGCTTCAGACAAACTATTTACAGCAAATGCTGACTGCCTGCTAGCAACGGAAAGACTCGGATATTTCTGATAACATGGATACTACCAGACATATGCCTGACAACACAGGTTTGCTTTATATGGTGCTGCTGGAAGGAAACAAATTGTCATTCAAAATCTAGAGCACTGACATACAATACCAATATATTTGAGTGACTTTCTAGCCATCAAGGTTGTTATCAAGCTAAAAAGCTAGCAAGTCAGTTCCTCCAGGACTCCAAAAGGTCCAGTGTGTCTGCACAGGGATGACAGCCTTTACAAGTTCTTGGTTTTTTTTTTTTGGTGGTGGTAGAGAGTTTTTCTGTTTTGTTCAGAGTGGGTTTTTTTGCTTAGGCTCTCTGAGCCCTAACATAGGCATACTCTTTCTTGAGACAATTCTGAAAAATAGTACAGCTGCATTTAGCTGGTTATTATCCTAAAGTAATGACCTGACCTCATCAAACTGACTCTTACTGGGGACAGCTCTGGTGTCTACCTTTGTCACAGTTAGCTCGCATCCCAAATAAATATTCTATTTCTATCACTGTTACTAGTAATCCATAAACAAGCAAGTTAACTAGAGCAAGCAAAGCTTTCCTTTTAAATTCTAAGTAAAAATCACACAAATTACTTAACTGTGATTTCATTTCACTAGTCATTTTCTTGAAAGCTTTTGTTGCCTCCCCTCAGAACTATGCATGCTACAGAGATCAAAACCCCAAACTACCAAATTAAAATTTCAATTTCAAAATAGATTTCTTGACATAGCTTCTAACACTGTCAGATTTGAGAAGCAGACGTTGCAAAATAATGAAACGTCAAGCTACCACCCATAACACTACTTGAAACACTGCTTTTGAAAGCCTAAACCCACATCCTACTCGCAGTAATAACCCTAACACTGAAGCTAACAGAATGTCGTAGCAGTTGTAGTTTTTTCCAGAATCAGGGCCTCGCATGTACTATGAAACATGATCATTCACTTCACTTTGATTCTCATGTTGCCAGTTGCACTGCCTGCAAATATAGCAGTTGAACGTTTAAAACTTAACTAGAAATTGTACTAGAGACAGCTGCTGGCTTCCACCCCACCTTGTTTTCTTTTGAAATGGCACTCCCTTTCAGTGAATCTAAACCCAGTCTTTTGTTTTATAAGTCCCTCTTCTTAAGTAATCATCCTTAACTTTGTACTTTAACCATGATACCAGTGAAAAATAAAAACATATTTACAGCACCCATATCTTGATAAAAATCTGCATAGAAACAAACGTTCTAATAGATTTCATAAAACCTGATCGCGTTGTGACTTTCAGGGGCAGGGTTGAAAAGCATCCCAAACTCTAGCCAGAACCATCACCACAAATACTGATTCTACTTACCCGCTCCTGTCCAGCTGTATCCCAAATTAGGAATTTATGCAGCTCGTTTTGATACTGTACAGTCTTGGTCATAAATGAGGCTCTGGAAAAAAAAAATAGAGTTTATACTTTTCAGAATATAAATACATTCTTAGAAGATTACCACCATGAACTTTTGAAAAGGTTTACATTCCAATAGAAGTGCTTTCCACACGCATAAAACTGATGCAGAGTTTCATACATAAAGGCTGAAATTAACAAGGCAAAGGGCCTCAGAAGATCAATTTCCTTTCAGAGGATGAAATTCAACTAAAAAAAAAACCACCAGAAGGAACACAAATGCAAATTAGAAGCTTTTGTTGTTCATAAGCTGTTGATAAAAATAAAGGACATATGACCAAAAAAAATCAGAAAGGTCAGCCGTTTAAGAACATTCTTCCTAAATGGAGGAATCATCACAGCAAATCACTTAGGTACATACCAGAAACTTCCAGAGGGAAAGACATCAAACCCTTCCCCTTTTAATCAGCTTTTTCTACCTCTATACTAACATTTAGATAAATGCTGATAAGTCCATATTTGGCAATAAAATATGGGAGATTTGTTTCACTATTGGTAAGTGTTAAGAGGACAGAGAAATCAATGAGTTAGACAAGTCAAACAAGTAACTTTGTACAGCTCCCAAATCCTGTCTGTCATTATATACTTCAGTCTGCAGAGGCTCTTGCACTTCCAGAAGACAAACAAAAAAAAAATCTCTTCCTATGCTCCAGCTGCCTCCCACAACTTCTAGATATTTTACAGTAAAGTACTGCAAAATATTGTAAAGCACCTTCATGCTGTACTTGATCTGCTTTACATGAATCGTAATTTCCCACAAGAACAGGAATTGAGAGACCTAATCTATTACAAGAGAGAGTTCTTAGTTCTTGGTTACATCTATTACCTGTAGGCACCTTTTTTTTTTTTACTAGAAAAGCCACACACTGAATCCAAATCCTTGTAAAACAGGAACTATAGATGCCATACTAAGGGGGCCTACAGGAAAGATGGGGAGAGGCTGTTCAGGAGGGCCAGTTATGATAGGACAAGGGGTAATGGTTTTAAAATAGAGGGAGGTAGGTTCAGGTTGGATATTAGGAAAAAATTTTTTACTATGAGAGTGGTAGAACACTGGAACAGGTTGCCCAGAGAGGTGGTGGATGCTCCATCCCTGGAGACGTTCAAGGCCAGGTTGGACAAGGCCCTGAGCAACCTGATCTAGTTGGAGATATCCCTGTTCCTTGCAGGGGGCTTGGACTAGATGACCTTTGAAGGTCCCTTCCAGCCCTAACCATTCTATGATTTTAATCATATGAGATCCTATGTTACGATTGTGAACACCTTTTGTATACTTAATTCTTGCCACTTGAAAATACCGCAGACTTCCAAATTTGTTCTACTGTCAGTTTTGGACAGGATGCAGGATAGGATCCTGGAGGTGGTCTGTACTGGAGCTTCTTACAGTACACTAAGCTTGTTGTAGGTTCAGAGTCAGAGAGCAAGAGTCTTTCAGCATGATCAACAACATTAAATACTTCAGTTCAAGACTCTGAACTTCAGTTTATCTAGGATCTGAAGTACCGCCAGGCCATAGATCTTAATGACATCCATGACACCTTTGTAGTAAATGTAACTGGAGTCTTTGGACATGTTTCAATGTGTACATAGGAGGACAAAACAGCTATGTACATTTAAAAAAAGGAAAGACAGGCATTACACAATGCTTTTGACTGTTAAGAGGTAACCTTCTCCCCATTCCTTGAGCTCAGATGATTTCCCAAATGATATATCAATCTCCAAAGTTGATTACTCTTTTAAGAAGCCAAATACAAGGCTGCAGCATCCCTACAAAGAATGGGCCAACTGCAATGCATTTCACCACAGTTAGCTAGATGATGTATTTTAGCAATGAGTAACGGAAAATAAGTGATAGGAGTATCTGTTGTAAAGCACAGCAAAGACCTCCACTTCCTTAAGACTGCTGCAAAGTAAGCATCAATTCTGAATTCTCTGGCCAATACGGAACCAATTTCCTAAATCATAGATTCTCACTGAAAATTTATCTTACTTGGTTCTATAAATCAAAACATTCCTGGACAATTTGAACTGAACAGCTATGTTACTCTAATTCACATCACAACTAAACATCCCAAACGGTAGCTGACAGAGGTTAAACGGTCCTTCAAACTCTTTGACAAGTGGAAGCTTTCCTTGCAACAGACATCAATTAAAAAAACACAAACCAAACAAATAAAACAAACAGCCAGCTCAATGACAAACCACTTTCAGGTCAACCAAAGCCTCCAAGCCAGAGCTATCCTCAACGACTTCTAGTAAGAAAACAGGCATTATCCCTACTACATTTCCTGCTTCTCCCAACCAAGTAAGCACTTTAACTGCGCGAACAAGAGGCACCTGATAGCAGTTTTATACTCTTTCATAATTTCTTTTTGCTGTTATAATGGAAGACTAGGCATTCTGCAGTACCTAGAGATACATGCTGGTTAGACAAAGCAGAATTGTCTTCTCAGGATGCTGAGGACACGAAGATGCAGAACTCCGACAGGTTTCTACAGCTGCCCATATTTTAATTTGAAATATGAACATGACAACCAAGTCTGATCACTCAGATATATCTAAGAGCAATGGAAACAGGACAGGAAACTTAAGATTGTATCTCATGAACTCAAAACCCCAGGGGTAGACGTAGAAATGTTGTCAGCTTTAGTTTTATAAGATGCTCTAAAACTCTTCTCTAACCCTTACTTTGTTCTTTCCACCTCCTGGTCTCAAATAGAAAAAAGGTCTAGAAGAAGTTTCAAAATGAATTTGCTTAAAATGTTGGGACTGTTTCTTATTGAAGCTTCACACAATCCCTATATATGGACAAGTTTTGATTTATTTATAGTAATACAGCAAACTACCAAGATAAGTCCTCAGACCAATGAATGATTTCATTAAGACTGCTAAAAGATACAGATTTTTAGTCAAGAAAGTAAACTAATCCCAGTACTGTCATTAAATCCATGACAACAAGTTCTGTTCTACACATTAGGCTCCTTATCACAAGGGCTAGCATCTTCTGACAGCACCTTAAATTACTGCATAGTATCTTTCACAGACATTCCCCTGGGAAGACATGTCCATGTGAGCTCTTTGGTTTCCTGCCTTCAGACACATGCTACATTGGAGGGAGAAGGAGAAAAGAAAAAAGAAATCAACTCACACACCACACAGCCAGAAAACTACCAGATTAAGAGAAACTGACTTGGAGAGGAAGACAACAAGATTTGATGTTCACTCCAGTCTCAGCTCTTCCCCAGAAGGAAAGGAAAAAAGAAAAAAAAACACTGCAAAACCCTCTCTCCTGAGTTTTCTCCAGATTACAGAAAATTCTACTTTGCCAAGATAGAAGCATCACAGATTACAATCTGCTCTGCAGCTTTAGACAGTTTTGCAGACACGCAGAGCCTAAAGCCATCGACCACAGCATTTTAGAATTTAGAATCTTAAAGCAGACTTGAGGAGGCTGCAGTTCACATGTGATTGGAGACATAACGCAAATTCCATACTCAAATGTTTAAACCATGTAGTCTCGATGTGTGGAGACATATGTCTAACTATATAACACAGCATCCTGACCAAATACATAGGCACCTCTCACATTTGCAAAACCTAAGTCAGTGTTACCACACACAGTCACCTTCTAGTTAAGGAGACTTTAATCTCTCATCCCTCCCTCACTCTCCCGCAGGAACTGCATCCATGACTACGATGGCTAACACTGGGCCACTGTACATGCCACCCATATCAGCCGACTATTTAGCAGACTCTGGTTTTAGAAGTATCTGGATGACTAGGAATGAAGATGGATAACCAATTTCTCAAACACTTTGGGTAATAAGAAAAACAACTAGATCTTTCAGTAGTGTCCACCTGCAGAAGTTTTGCTTGCAGTTGTTATCACTGTGGGCAGTAGGTCTGAACTTTCTATGCAACCTGAACATAAATGTTTAAGTCAGCCTGCTCCCCTACTTTAGCAAATATGACTGCTATCCACAAATCAGTTTCATGGTCCTCTAAAAAAGAACCTCTACTGTAGCTAATTTGATAGTAACTAAGAATGGTCAACCCTTGAAGGCATAGATTGCTAAGCAGTTTTCTTATCTTAAAGGCTACCTTTGTTAACAGGTAAATTAAAATAAAAGTATACTTCCCACAGAGTATCTTGCAATTCAATACCAGTATTTACACTGAAAAAAAAGGCAGAGGGTGTAGGGGAGAGGGCAGAGAGAGTTATCATGGAAGCCACATTTTTTTAGAAGAACAAGATGAGACACAGATGATCTTTATCAGTAGGATCTTTTTTGGTCAAAGCTGTAGTAGAGCCTGGGTAGCACCTGAGACAGGAAGCTGCACTAACACCCCCACAACACACTTCTCAGCATCAAGAGAAGTCATGTCCTCCTGTAAGTAAAGAACTGCTTCTGAGCAAAGCAGCCCATAAAACAGTTGCAAAGCAAAAAGCACAGCAAAAGAAATTAAAAGATCCAACCACTTCAAGGATTCCTGATGCTCCCTCTTCCTTCTATCCATTTGAAGATTTGAGCTCAATAACATTGCTTCTCTGAGGCTCCACTTTCAAATATCCTTAGCTGTGAGACCAATTGCACTAACAATTTCATCACTTACAAGTGTGTGCATTGCATATAGATGTATAACATTAGAACTAATTCATAAAGAGAACTACGACCTGAATTAGTATGTTAACTACCCTCCTAGGAGACTTGTTATTTTATATGACTCTCTAAAGGTAAAAAAAAATAATCAAAAAACCATGTAGTTGCATACTAATTAGACTTTTAAATTTAAAAGCAGTACATGAGAAAAGCATATTGTTCCTTTAACAGAAGCATCTATAACGTAATTTATTCATAACCCAGAATTCCTAGCAAATTTTGTTAGCTTAAATTAACAATACAAAACGGGTCCAGATCTTACACATGAAGATGGAAGCTGCACGAGTGCTGCATACACTCCTGTGCTTCCTAAGGTAGCTCATGGGCTAATTAAGGCTGCAGTCATGTTTATTACCACATTCAGCTGCCACACATGGAGAATCCTCAAGTGATCTATTCAGAAGGTACAAATACATATTCATACAATTTGTTTTTATTCCTGAGTAAGTCACATTGACTTCATTTAGTTTCTTACCCTATTGTTGGGTTGATGTTGGGATCAAAGCTATCTTCCACAAATCTCCACACAATACTTGATTTGCCCACACCAGTGTCCTAAACACCAAAAGAACACAAAGAGTTGACAGAGACATTAGTTACCATCAACAGCTGTTTCTTTTTGTCCTCAAATCTTGTAATACACTGTGCATAACATGCTCCTGCAGAGAATCTCAGAGAAGTTAAGATTCTGAAACACTCAGGTATTATATTCGTTTAGTAGAAAAATGAAAGATCTCTGGCAAGTTACAGTTTATTCTAAACAAAATTGCTAAGATGTTTTTATGAAGGAATATAAAAATCTGGATTCACGCTTATTATCAGTTATTCAAACTTTTTTTTTTTCCCCAAAACTATACACACATTTCATTTGAACAGG